CTGTCATAGTTGACACTGAACCCGACGATTCGCTGCCCGCCGTAGCTGGCGGCATTCTTCGGGATCACCTGAGGTCACCAGTTGTCTTCCGTTGATGAACATTGGACGTTTCTCTGTCAGCAAACTCATGGGTTCGATGAATTTCCATTCGATCGGCAGCATGTGTGTTGATGTGTTTTGCTTTTAAGAAAAATGAATATTTAACCAACCAGAGAAAGGATTTAGCCAACAACAACAAACGAACATTGGATTTTTTTGAAAGGCAAGAAGCTTTTTAGCAAAAGCGAAGGATTCCACAAATGAAAAGTCGAGCTCGAACGGAACCAAGAAGCATGGCAGAATGGGGATTGGACCAACAAAACGCCAACGAAGATATGTCACAGCACTGGTTTGATGTAAAGGACCACTTGTAGGGTAAACCGAAAGGCTATGATTTCGAACAATCCAACTGTCGAGTTTTTCTTGAACATTCCGTCTCTAACGAAATCTGGGACAAATGCCCTTGAGCTACCAGGACTTCTGCAATTTAGCAAGGAAAAATTGAGATGCAACAAACGGTCGGACGGCCTGTTCACGCGCAAGTTACATGGAACGTTAACATCCCCCCCACCCCAGCGTGGCGTAGCATCAACAACGTGAGCAAGTTACATAGAACGTTAACATCCCCCCCCACCCCACCCCACCCCACCCCAATGTGCAGCGTAGCATCAGCAACATGATGAAGGATCAAGTTCACATGAGCGTGATTGCCCCACCCCACCCCACCCACCCCAATGTGCAGCGTAGCATGAGCAACGTCATGAAGCCTCAAAACACTGTAAAAACCAAGGGAAAACGCAGATGGTGCAAAAAAACAAGAGCGCGAAAGCGCGAAAAACACTGTAAAAACGAGTGCAAATGGACAAAGGCAGAAAACATCACTCGAAGAAACAGTTGTTCCTGCCCCCCCCGCTCCCCCCCCCAGGGCAGCATTGTCGAGAAGCAGAAAACACTGTAAAAAACAGTACAAAATGCACAATATGCACAATCAGCAGTGTGTCTGCGCGTGAACGCCCCGTCGGAGGGAACAACCACAAGTACAGGCCCAGCCACAAGTTCAACAAGTTCATCAGTAAATTTGAAGTTGAACATAGTCGAACCAGCAAAAATGGTAATCCTTATACGTCCTCTAATCGAGAACAACCTTCTACAGCAACATGAGCCGGCACAGGACCTGACTAGCCATATGGTTTCTACCTGTTTATTGGTCCCCAAAAATTGAAGGAATTCCTACTGAGATTGAAGCCGTGTGAATCAGTATGGCTTGCTGAATTTCCCATCTTTGCGACTCAAATCAAAGTCTGGATAAGAACCCCATGTGCAAAGGTTCAATAGTGTGTATTGAACTACCCAGCTGGTAATGACAATTATTGCCCGTATTCGCCCACCAGATCGCAGTTTTTTTGTGGGCAAACGTGGGCAAACTGTCGGTTCTCAGAAGTGGTAGGCCCAAATCATACACCATCCTCCTCTTGCCTAACATTACCAAAATAATATTGGAAACAGGGTCCCCAAAAATATTCCATCGTTACTTTGAGTGATCCACACCGACATAGATTCAGACATTTAAGATCCGACAAAAAATCTCACGTTCTACGGCATTTCATGTGGCATATATTCTCACATTTTCTTTGACATTCTGTCTGGCATATATTCTGACATTTTATCTGGGATTCTATTTGACATATGTGTTTTTTATCAAACATATATTCGGACATTTTCCGGGCATTCTGTCTGACATGCGTTCTGATATTTTAGCTGACATCTTATCTGGCGTTCTATCTTTCATTTTATCACATACATTCTGCATGTTTCCACATTCTTTCTGACACATAGTCTGTAATTTTCTTTGACATTCTAAGATAGGTACTGCCCATCTGACGGACATTATTACATCTTTTCTGGCATTGGTCTAGTGTCGAGCTCGCGAGTTTGTGCAGGAGTCCAGCTTGCTGCAAGCATCCGCAGAGGAGCAGACCTACTGTTATGATTGGTGATTTTCAAACATTGATTCCCCAGCAAACAGCTGGTTGGTTGGTGATTTTACGCCAAGTTGCGGTAATAGTGCTGGAACCAACATTAAGCCCTTGTGGATATGGTAAATCGTGAACCCCAAATGTTTGCTAAGGTTTCCCGTTGGGAAGTGCGAAAGTGCAGCTGTGGCACATGAGCAAAGCGGGCTCACCACACAAACATTTCTTGAGCCACTGGAAGCCACGATTTGGTTGAGGCTCAGGGCCAGACACAAAACATCACCGGATTTTCCAGCATGGCTAAGAATGAATATGAAATGTTCACACATGTTCTTCCATGAGAATGAATCCATTTACCAAGGATGCACCAAACTTTCTATAGACAACTGCATCGTGCTTTGTGGCTGAAATATCCACACGGGATGATTTTGCATGCGGAATTTATCACAGCAATGGAAAGAATGAAATGTTCAGTTTCGATACGAGCCTCGTATACAATAAGGAACCTTCCTTTTTCAAAGTTTGAATACCAGACTGTGACAAACCAAGAATGGGTAGGGTTTTCAGCCTGGAGTTACATATGTGTATATTATATATACTCTGTATACCACATATATATATATATAGTATATATAGCATATATATATATATATGATAAAATTAAAAACATATGCTATATGCTATAATACTACGTGTATATATATATATACTATATATATATATATATACATAGAAAATGCCATGCAAATTGCAAATTGTCGAAGTCTCAATTCCCAGCCCTATCCAAGTCCAGTTGCGGGTTTCAACTGAAATCTCCACAACTGGTAGGTATAGTTGATGGTATCAATGGACCACTGATTTCTGGTTTTTGCGGATATGGAGGGTCACGACACTTTTTGTGAAAACTTCAGCATGAAGAGTCTGTTTCAGAATACACCGTTTTTTTGCACTGAGCACTGAGCAAGGAATATGTCAAAAATAAATGGGACGCAAGCATCAATCATGGGGGAAACCATGTTTGACCCACAGATCGGAGCATGAGAGATGGGAAGATGGTATTAACATATTGGGGTTACCCTCCAGCCAAACCTGGCAATGGAAAAGTCCCCAGTTGTAGCTGTTGTTTTGCCAGCTAGAAACCTTCATTTCATTCGGGGATTTCCCATTGCCGCGTTTGATCACTGGAGGGTAAATTTAGAGATTGGTTTCCTCAAAATTCTAGACTGACCCACACGGCCAATGAATGACAGTCTGGACAGGGACATCGGCATCCCACATGTGAAGAATGCCAAAAGGGGCCATCAATCAGACTTTTCAATCTGCCAAATAACCAAGATGGATTGGTTTGGTTTGACCTTGCTTTCAATCAAAAAATAAACAACAATCATTCCTACGGAATGCACATAAATAACGAAGAACCAATCCACAATAAGACAAAGGAAGAATTTTAGGGTTTTTTCAAAAGTTGAAGTTTCCTGCAACAAAAACATATCATTTTTTCGAGGAAACCTCCCTCAGAAACCTCCCTCAGATTCCCCGGATTCGGACCTGGTTCCGGGGGCCACAACGGAGCAACGGGAGAAATCTATGGATGCCTCAGCCAGAACTTGACAGGTAGCTTAACAGGTAGCTGAAGTGGCACAGCTTATGGCACAGTGATGTGAAACTCAATTGGATCATCCTCCCTTTTTTTGCTTTTTGCCATGGAACACGGAAAAAGATGCTCAAAATGCCGGCCAATTATGGTTTTAATATGTTTTAATGGGGCTTATGATGGTGAAAAATATTTGCAATTAACCAGCAACAAAAATCGGAGTCAATGTCCGCACAGTTGGTCGTGTTTTGCAAACATCGACTGTTTAGGGTCAGCAAGTTTGATTTTCTGGTCATTCAACCTGCCAGTGTGAAATTCCCCATGAATATCTTGATGTTGTTTCATGATTTTCGCAACATTGGGCGTCCGTCAGATTTCCCAGGTTTCGGTTGCCAAAGACCTACCACCAAGTTGGTCAGGTTTATTGCTGAAAGATGCACTTTGCAAACTGAATCAAGTTGGGATCAACATCTGCCCAAAAACTATGCTCAAAGTAACTGTTTGGCGCCACATGATATCTTCTTGATTTTGAAACCGTTGTTGCTGTGAACTGTTGTTTCCTCCAACAATCATGAGTGAATCTGGGGGTGGGGATGGAAAATTGATGCTTGAAACCACAAGTGTCTTTGCAGGGAGTCCAAGACAATCCTCTGCGACCTCCAAATGATGATCAGCCAGTTTCAACTCCACAACTCAACCCTGACATTCTTGCCAATTTGGATTCATGACTCATCATCCAAAAAACAGCGTCATGCCCTTCTGACTAAAACATCTTCAACCGACATCTTGAGGTGCCGACATGTGCAACAGACTGCCTGTGGTGTTAAGCATAGACAACCTACGCCATGAGCCAAAAAAAAGCCGCAGCCGCGTTTAAGTTGTCCAGCTCAGCCCTCCGTGCATCAAAGCGCCAATCAAACATCATGTTCTTCAAACATCATTTTGTTGGGATCATAATCTTCTATCAACACCCATTAAATGCTCTGAAGGTTGAAGTGATAGAACCCCAACCCCCCCACCCCAAAACAAAAGTGAATTTGTTGGAGGCCACAACCATCCATCCATGTGGCCACGACCTGAACGCCCTGTCTTTTTGTCGTCGAAAGAGACGCGAGTCAAACCGCCCATCTGGACCAACCCCAGGAGTGCCTTCGCACCAGCGGAATTGGAGGGCTTGACTCAGTCAGAAACTGTAACAATCCCATTGATATATCCAAGATAGAATCAGTACAACGTACAGTAGCATAGAGTGTGCGGATATATAATATTATATATATGTAGCACTATACTATAATAATCTGTAATAAACTACTATACTCATATATATATATATATATACTGCAGTCAGATTCTATTCAACAAGGTTGACTCAAAATGCAATGAGTACAACAAAGCTAGGTTTTAGGGGTGCTCCTTGTATAACACAACAAAGAATGGTGTAATATATATATATATACTTGTTAACCTTCGGCCAACCATGATCTAGTTGTGTTCGTTTTTCTACGCTCGAAAGAAACCCTGTTTTGGTCGCCTTGCTTGATTTCTGCGGTTTCCCTCTGTGATGAAGTTGAGATAGGCATGCTATCTTTCGCTTTTGCAGGAAGTTGTAGTGAAATAAATTTGGAAGATCCGTTTCGCCCTTGTACGCTATCCCCCCATGGGCCATAGACCTTCCCCACCTTCGGCTTTCGGAGGAGTCCACAATGGTGAAACTCGAAGTTTGGAAATCCGACACCTCGCGGTGCGTCGCTGGAAGCGGCGACTGGATGATTCAACCATGGCATCAGTTCTAGTGATGCAAAACTTGCATAACCCTGGGCAAAAGTTGTCAAATTGGAAAGGACCACAACATACCACAACCCGAACTTCAGCAAAAGGTACAACAAATAGATTCTAGAGTCACAGTCCCACTGTAGCCAGCTGCAAGGAAAATACATAGTTGAAGTCCTCCAGGGGAAATTGAGGCTGAATCCCGACAATGGCTATTCCAAACCATTGGACTTTGTCCAAAACTCGGGTGCCTCCAATTGCATCAAGGGTTATATCATAATTTCGCCTGTATAAAATGTCCGGTAATACATGAGCATCATGTGCTGTATCTCCAGTGCTTGGACAACACCATCCCCATGTCGTTGGCTTTTTTTGTTCCACATACAAGGTGAGGCCCTAAAACCATAGCTAGCTTGACGTAAATAACTTCGTTACCTATGGTTTACGGATGATATAATGAACTATAGTTGAGAGCCAAGGGTGTTTATAAGCCAATTACCCTCCAGTAAATTAATATAAACCCTGCCAGATAGGGGTTGGAAGGTTAGTGGCCACTCAAAAATTGCTTATGTCAGGGTTTATCTTAATTTTCCCAGGGCATAAATAGGTAGGAACCTTTCAACCGGAGAAAATCATCTCTTCTGCTGTGCCATTCCAAGCGCCTGCCGGGGTCGTGGCGCTTCTGCATCCTGCGTTTCGGCGTTTTTTCGGTCAAAATGTGGAAAATCACATGAACATTTAGAAATTGAGAAATAATGCGCATGCTCAAATGCAACTCCAACATCATGACATCAAGAAAACAAAACCAAATGTGACTTGCACTGCTAAACACACCCTGGGTTTCCCCGAGAAAACCGTCAACGTACCCCACACTCCAAACTCCACGCTTCGCATCCCACACTCCACCCATCCATGCTCACCGCTCTACGCTTCGCGCTCGCAACTCTTTATGCTCACACTCCACACTCCACACTCCAAACTCCACACTCGCAACTCTTCACAAACAACGCACTCCACGTTCTACACTTCACAATCTACACAACACTTCCCATTCCACATTCCACTCTAGACACTTCACGCTCCCCACTCGCACCACTCTTCATGCCGCACGCTCCGCACTCTAAGTCTACACTTTATATTCCACATTCCACGCTCTACACTTGGCACTCCACGCTCTATACACTTCACAAAACATTCTAGACTTTACACTTCACGCTCCACACTCCACACTTCACAAACTAATTGCACACTGCACTTCGCACTCAGCATTCCAGACTCTACACTTCACATCCAGACTCTACACGTCACACTCCGCACTGCACTCTATACACTACACAGTCTACACACGACACTTTCATACACTTTCCACTTAAACCGCCTAACTTCACACTCCGCGCTCGTGCCCCTTCACCTTTCCACACCCTGCCGCAGGTGAAATGAGCCAAGGATTGCAGAGCAGCGCCATCACAGGTGCTATGTTTGTGCAGCAGACTTCCAGACGCATGGAGTTTTGGCGAGCTTTTCTAAAAAAAACAGGGGCATGAGGAACATGTTCACCCTAATGGGCCCTAATGAATCAATCAAATCCGGCTCGGGGTTGAACCACCCATCCCAACATCGATTCCATCTTCAAATAGACATCCTGCTACAATTTATGATACCTTATTTATCTCAGGGTACTATATTGTATTTCCCACGCCGAAAAATCTTCGAATCTGCCGCAGTATCCCCACCGCGAAAACACTTCGGCATATGTGCTGGGACCTTCTGGGATGGAAATTGGCCTGTAGTTTGGTTTTCAATTCAACACATCTCTATATTACACACTATCCGACAAGTCATCTGACAA